GGGAAAGGTGTTATGTTTCCCTATGAGATCAGTGTGTGTTTAGATCGCTTTGAAACCAGTCCACTTAAGTTAGGCAAGAGAACGGAAGACCTCTCTAGAGTTGAGGAAAAGAGGAAGAAAATTTCTGCTGCATAACTTTGAGGGCAGAATTCAGTTTAAGGATGCTGGTTGCTAGGGAAGCAGGAGCTTTTCTCCTCTTTGTGTGCACAGCTTGGTCTTGCCTTCCCAGTGCAGGTGTATGGGCAGCTTCATTCTGCCATCCTCTTGGCGTGGCAGGTTTCTATATGACACAGGGATGTTGCTGAGACATGCTGTTTGGGATGCTGTTTGCTTGGCACTGTTGAGAGGAACAGTGGGAGAGTTTGGGCAGCATCCAAGCCAGAGCCTGCCCTGGCAGGGCAGGATGCAATGTTTTGCCCATGGCACCTGGCATGTGTGCAGTAGCCATCAGGGAAAGATGTTTGTGTGCAGTAAGGTTACAAAGGGCTGATGCCTTGTGCCAGATGAGTGCAGAGACTCCTCACATTGTCTTGCATTTTCTGGCAGCAGAAACAGAGTTTAGTTCTGCTGCTGTCACCTTGAATCCTCTTCTACCTTGTAGGAGTCCCTTCCTCACACCAGGCCTGAGGCAGCAAATATGCAGCAAGGCACAAAAAAGGCTCTTTCAGTAGGGGATATCCCTGAGGAAGGGACAAACAATAGCTGTTCAGAAACACAACCAGCAAGAATTGTTTCCCAGTTGCTTATTTCTCCTAGCATTGCCAGAGAGGGGCTGAGCCGCTCTTCAGGAGAGCGTTGGAAAGAGCTCCCGAGCTCCTGGCACAGCAAGCCTTGTTTTGAAATGGGATTTAAGCAAACACTGGGATACCGAGTGGGTTGAAGTGCTGCCTGAGACTCAAGTGATATTTGCTGTTGCGAGGAGGGCCTGGTGTAAGTGAGCACTGGAAATAAACTTTGCTTCTTCTGCTGAGTTTTTTTACAAGTATTTGTAATTCTGTGAGGCTTAGGCATGCGCCCAGGCTCTGTACAACCCGCAGCTTGCAGGAGGGTGGATTATTCCCCAGGCTCTGAAGACCAACAGCACAACTTCTGGTGCCCGTTTCACGTGAGAGCAGGAAGAAACTCACTTTTGCAGTATTGATCTTCACAAACTCATGAGGTCTGGGAGAGGAGGGGCTGTCCTGAGAGCATGGGACAGATTAGCATGGGCCAGAGGACTAGGAGGAAGAAACTTTATCCAAAGTTGAATAAACCATGACATTTTTAGAAGGTGCATTAGGCAGGGGCTAGAGTGTACAGCAAGGGCAGGCTTCAAATACAAATACCTGTGCCCCCTCTTTTATTTCAGTCCTGAGCTCTTTGTTTCCCTCTGCAGGCGTCAGTGTCCTTTGGCACTTTTGGCACTGATACTGCCAAACCCAAAATTTGGAAAGACTGGAGAAGTTGAAAGCAACCTTGTATCTGTGAGATTTCCTACCTAGTTTTATACATCTTAACAGTTTGGGTGAATGGCCAAGTTCCTGGTCAAACAAAGTTTCAAAGTTCTGCAAGGCCAGTCCAAGGACCTCAGTGGTCTCTTGACTCAACACACTTCTCTAGGCCATGTTTGTGTCAGTCTCACAAGTGAGGGGTGTTCAGGATACACTGTGTGCTCCTGCCTACAGTTGTCTGTGAAACTCACTGTCTTGTGGGCTCTGGACTGTGCTAATGCTTCCTCCCCTCCCCAGCTGCAGAGCTTTACTGCTGTCTCTCATCTTAGATGGTAAGGTTCACACCATTGCTATTTTTAAGAGACTGAAGTCTGCCCATAAATAGGATGTTTTGTTGTTAACTTGTGTGTATTTTTGTGGTAGAAGACAATTATGGCAGGTGAAAACGTTCCTGAAATTAACTCCTACTTCTTCCTCCAAGCTCAGTTTACCACTTCTCTTGCTGGTTTAATAGGTATATTGGAGGATCCAGAATTGCCCGCTGAAACTACAAATAGCCTCAGAGCAATGGGTGTAATTATAGCAGAAAGGAGAGCACTTCTCTCTTCCTATAGCTGTTATTCTTCTCTCCAGGGCTGGGTAGGTCCTCTGATCACTTTAAGCACAAACCTTTAATTGAGCTAGTAGAACAGATAGTCCTAGCATCCACCATTCACTTTAGAGGGCTATTTTTAATTCTGTCTGGTGCCCCACCTCTGGGTTTTGGCATGGAGGAAGCTTTCATTAGTGGTAACAGATCCTCTGCACTTGGACAGCTCACCTGGAGCTCTGCAGAGTGCTGTTTATAGCAGAATAACATGGACAATTTACCTTCCTTTAAATAACTGTCCTGAAGATATATTGTTCATTTAAATCTTTGTTGTGGCCTTTCTTTCTCAGACCCAATTTGAGAGGTTGTGACATTGGGCACAGGAGAACTTCTCTGTGAGGGAGCAGAGCATCCTAGGATTGCTGAAGACCTGCTAGCTTTTGTCCATCTCTACTCATCTCTCTTGTTCCACCCCTTGCAGGATTGTACCCTGCAATAGGTTCCCCCATAGGAAAGATCTTTTGTCAGGCTGAGACCTCTCATGTGGTGCAGGAGCCGTTGCAGTGTAGGTGGACTTGCATGTAGAAATTTCTTCCTGATACATAGCCTGAATTTGTCTTTGCTGCATTTTGTGTTTATGTCCTAAGGGACCGTCACTCTCTGTCATTTCTTTCTCGTGCTCTTTGGAGACTGGGAGGCGATTGTCCCGTGTATCTGCCATGCTGTAGCAGGTAGAGGGCTGGGCCAGATGTGATTTCTGCCCTGACCCAAAACTTGAGGCTTCCTGCTCAGAGGACATGCACAGACCTTGTAAATTGAACTTAACACCCATAATCAGGTGTGTGATTCTTTTGTATCACTCATGCTATAATAATTAACACTACCCTATTTCCAAAGCACTTGGCAAATATTAATTAATTCTTACTGCAGCTGGGGAGAGCGGTGTGATATAATAGTGTTCTCACCTGACGGGTTGTAAAGCCACAAGGCAAAGTGTTGGGTTGGAGGCCAGAGCCAGAGCTCGGGGTGGAGGGAAGTCACGGGCAAGAGTTTCTGACACCTTTTTGCATCTTGGAGGCTTTTGGAGGTGGATGGCGCAAGTGCTGCTGGTGCTCTGGGTGACTGAACACCTTATGGCTGGTTTAGCTGGAGGCTGAGCTCAAGTGAACGCCTGGCTTGGTGGGGCTGAATAGGCTGGACCGGGCAGTGGGCACACACAGCGTCTGCTCTTGTGAGCCTGTGAAGCTCTGGGTTGCTCCGTGGTCTCCCTGCACACAGCAAGCCCCTGCACACGTGTGGGAAGAGGGTGGCTTTGCCGGGTGTACAGGGACAAGCTTGGGGCTGTGTTTCTAAAGCAGTGACAGATGTGAGTGGCAACCTCTGTGTCAGTGCTACCAGAGCACGCGACGCCAAGCGAAGGGGGTGCTTCTATATCCAGAACACTCTCCTAAATGACAATGTGCTTGTAAAATACCAGCCAGCCTTGCCCTGCTGTGCCTCGCTGCTGGTCCCCATGCAGCGGAGGGGCTGGGGGGGCTTAAAGAGTCCCCATCCACAG